GTTTGTCGAATAAATTATCTTTAAACACATATATACGTTGATATTCTTTTGCCCTATGCGAATATCCCAGAGTAAGAATGAGTTCTGTCTCTTTCTTACGCTCCTCCGGCCTAACAGCATCCTTCTCCTTCCTTATGCTGCGAAACCGGTTTATTAATATAATACACGTTTTGCATGTTATACGCACTACGACTTTAATTTTTCCTTTTTCCAAAAGACATTTATCCTTTTTACAAAGAATATCAACGTATATATGTGTTTAAAGATAATTTATTCGACAAACGTAATAATGATACAGTATACACATTACATACATACATATATAGCCCGCGAAAGATTTTTAATAACAGTACCATTAAAGATATATTACATATATCACTGCAATATAATACACGTTTTGCATGTTATACGCACTACGACTTTAATTTTTCCTTTTTCCAAAAGACATTTATCCTTTTTACAAAGAATATCAACGTATATATGTGTTTAAAGATAATTTATTCGACAAACGTAATAATGATACAGTATACACATTACATACATACATATATAGCCCGCGAAAGATTTTTAATAACAGTACCATTAAAGATATATTACATATATCACTGCAATATAATACACGTTTTGCATGTTATACGCACTACGACTTTAATTTTTCCTTTTTCCAAAAGACATTTATCCTTTTTACAAAGAATATCAACGTATATATGTGTTTAAAGATAATTTATTCGACAAACGTAATAATGATACAGTATACACATTACATACATACATATATAGCCCGCGAAAGATTTTTAATAACAGTACCATTAAAGATATATTACATATATCACTGCAATATAATACACGTTTTGCATGTTATACGCACTACGACTTTAATTTTTCCTTTTTCCAAAAGACATTTATCCTTTTTACAAAGAATATCAACGTATATATGTGTTTAAAGATAATTTATTCGACAAACGTAATAATGATACAGTATACACATTACATACATACATATATAGCCCGCGAAAGATTTTTAATAACAGTACCATTAAAGATATATTACATATATCACTGCAATATAATACACGTTTTGCATGTTATACGCACTACGACTTTAATTTTTCCTTTTTCCAAAAGACATTTATCCTTTTTACAAAGAATATCAACGTATATATGTGTTTAAAGATAATTTATTCGACAAACGTAATAATGATACAGTATACACATTACATACATACATATATAGCCCGCGAAAGATTTTTAATAACAGTACCATTAAAGATATATTACATATATCACTGCAATATAATACACGTTTTGCATGTTATACGCACTACGACTTTAATTTTTCCTTTTTCCAAAAGACATTTATCCTTTTTACAAAGAATATCAACGTATATATGTGTTTAAAGATAATTTATTCGACAAACGTAATAATGATACAGTATACACATTACATACATACATATATAGCCCGCGAAAGATTTTTAATAACAGTACCATTAAAGATATATTACATATATCACTGCAATATAATACACGTTTTGCATGTTATACGCACTACGACTTTAATTTTTCCTTTTTCCAAAAGACATTTATCCTTTTTACAAAGAATATCAACGTATATATGTGTTTAAAGATAATTTATTCGACAAACGTAATAATGATACAGTATACACATTACATACATACATATATAGCCCGCGAAAGATTAGTAATATCAATGCCATTAGAAATATATTAAAATATATCACAATAATATAATATACAACTTTTCTTTTTCCAAAAAACATTTAAAAACTTTGTTTTTAAGGATATACTAGGAGGAGAGTGATGGAGAATAGGAAGGAATAGGAGATTCGAAATGTGTATAAGTATTACAAGATAATTTATTCTACAAACATATAATGATACAGTATACAAAATAGAGATTTACATACATATACAGTCCACGAAAGATTAGTAATATCAATGCCATTTAGAAATATATTAAAATATATCACAACAATATAATATACGACTTTTCTTTTTCCAAAAAACATTTTAAAAACTTAGTTTTTAAGGATATACTAGGAGGAGAGTGATGGAGACATAGGAAGGAATAGAAGATTTGAAAATTGGGTAGAAACGTTTGGTGGCAGCAGACAGGGAAGATATTGTTGAAGGCGAAAAGAGGAAAATTGTTAAAAAGAAAGAGTGAAGAAGAGAGATAGTTATGACTGAGGAAACAAGGGAAGAAGAAGATACGCAAAGCGTATGCACGAAGACCAAATTATTCTGGAGGAGTTACAAAAGAGAATACTCATGGTCTTAAGTCTAGCTGCACTAACCGGATGACTACTCTTATATCACTAATTGAATAAATATGCTCGACCCGACCAAAGGAATAGGAAATGTAAGACAAATACAATGGAAACTGAGAGGGCACAAAGCGAAACGAGAACAATGAAATGAATATAGAAATGAAGAAGTGAAGAAGTAGAAACGTAAGGAATAGAGTTATAATAGAGTTATAAGTGGAGAAGAATGAGGAAGGAGATAAATAAGAAAGTGAAGAATCGAAGATAAAGAAATAAGGAATTAATGAAGAAATAAATATAGAAAAAGAAGAAGGTTGAAAATGGATATAGAAATAAAGAAGTGAAGAAGTAGAAAAGTAAGGAATAGAATTATAAAAGTGGAGAAGAAATGAGGAAAGAGATAAATAGGAAAGTGAAGAATGAATGATAAAGAAATAAGGAAGTAAAGAAGAAATAAATATAGAAAATGAAGAAGATTGGTAAAGGATAAGAGAGGTGTTTCCAAGAGACCAGTATAGGAGACCGGCTCGAGGAAGAATGAGCGCTTCGAGTCCGGGCACTGCTTGAGCGCTCCCCACTCACCGTCTTCTCCCACTCGCTGTGTCCTGCGCGACGAATATGCGCGCACACAATTTTCGGCAACTTCCAGTACTTCTAAATATTCTTGGCCAGCATTTTTGATTTCTAAGTCTTAATAGAAAAGATATTGCGGAGCAAAATGGAGCAAATTTAGAGCAATTGCATTTAAAAAATCATTCGAAAATCTGCTTGGTTATTTGGAACTGCGATAGCAAAATTATTTTATTTTTTTAATATACACTTTTTAGCCGTTGTATAATATCAGCGGAGCAATTAGGAGAACGTAAGGAGCATTTCAGGAGCAATTTTTTAGGCATTACAACATTAGTATATTGTGCACCGAGAGCGAAAACGGGCGTTTCTGCGCTGCATATAAAGTTGAGGTTCCCGAGGCGAAGCCGAGGGATTCTCAACTTTATACAAGGCACAAACGCCCGTTTTCTCTCGCGGTTCACATACTATTTTCTTCAACGGCGGAGCGAACGCGAGTTTTCACGTAGTGGGTGATTCTTGGGTCGGTGCAAATAAGCAGGTTAGTTTGGTAACTTAGGAAATCACAATGAAACGTCTGTGCATCGTACAGCTTACGTGAAAAAAACAATTGCCCCGGGGATAGCGGGTCGTTGGATTCGTCGGCAAATGTCACCTCACTCCTATTCAATTTTTCAATCTTCCACGTTTCCCCATTCGAGAATTGCATGTTTTCGCTCCTCCCGCGCGGAGCGAAAACGAGCGTTTTCGCTCCGCTGTTGAAGAAAATAGTATGTGAACCGCGAGAGAGAACGGGCGTTTGTGCCTTGTATAAAGTTGAGAACCCCTCGGCTTCGCCTCGGGAACCTCAACTTTATACGCGGCGCAAAAACGCCCATTTTCGCTTTCGGTGCACAATATACGATTATCCTTCGACGCTAACTTCCCGATGGTCACTGTTTGGCATATAAAGGGGTTGTACTGATTTTCACCCGTGTATTTTTTGTCTGAACAAAAATGTATATCGTTTTATCCCTATCTAGAAGTTCTGTTGCTGGTTCCAGCATATAATCTATGTCCACTACCTGTTGGAGACAAAGTCCCATGAGACCTGGCCCCTCTTTGCTAGTACCTTCTCAGTGGAGTCAACGGTAATATATAGCGAATGAATGGAAGTTAATGAAAAACCATTCATTCCCATTGGCAAAACAGCAATATTTATAATAAGCTTTTACACGGGATTTCTATACCGGATTCGTTAAGATCCTACCCATTTCTGTTTCCTTATTAAACTCTCCATAAAATTATCCTCTCTCTGTCATGTAGGTATCCTAAGTCTCTAGTATCTTTCTAAATTGATTTAACGCATATAAACACTTTTGGATAATTAGGATCCTGACTGGTTTTGGGTTTTGTTATGAAAATAGAATATAGAACGTAATGTTTTTTTTAAGAATGACGTTTTCTTTATTACAATAATTTGTAACGATCATATATATATATACATATATATATATGATATAATAGAAATCTATAAATTCTATGTCCACAACCGAATGACAAAAGTAATTCCATTTCAGCTAGAGTCTCTCGCAACGTTTGATTATTAACGTAATTTACACAATTTTTTTTCTTGCGCTTCCAATGGCGTTTGTGCAAAAATTATGGGACTGAGGGATATACAATTAAAAAAAAAAAACAATTACAAACAAGGATGGACAAGAAGCGCAAGAAGTCGTAGACAATGGTTAAGTCCATGTTTGTTTTTTATAATTTTCGTTTCTTCGTGCTTGCATTTTTCTGCCGGAGCGCGTAACGTAACGTATTGTAATATATTACAAAATAGAAATAATAATTAGTAACACTTAACAGAATGTACACGATACGTATTGGCTAATTGTTTTTTTCTCATTACAAATAAGAGATACGGTACTTTTCGTACGGAAATTAACGAGGCCTTTCGTAAAAAGCCGGAGTTCGTTTTACATTGAAATTGAAGAGGGACAGTAATTCAGTCATCGACGTGCGTCGTTGGGATATTAAAATTTAATTGACGAATTACCTGATTGTTTAATTGATTAAAATCGACTTAGAAAATAGTCGATAAAAATTCTGTTTGTTTCTGTTAATCGATGACTCAACGTCAGGGATTCTTTTTTTTTCTAATTATCATTACGAATGACAACGTTAATATCCCAGAACGAGAAAATACCTTAAGGTGTGCGCTATAAGACAGTAAAAAAACAGATAGGCTTCCATTTTGTTTTTCATACGTCGAGGATACGTTAATAAAAAATTTTTTTCGTTATTCGAAGAGACAAAATTACTTTGTCCTTTTTCCTTTGCTTTTTTCCTTTTTAAATAACTTTTGTTCTCTCATGTAACTCCTGTACAACATGGCACGTCCTATTCTAAGATTACGCAGCGTTGCGTATTTACGTTTATACGCGCTTACGCCCTAAACGATTAGTTTTTTTCAAGTACTTTTAGATTCCACGATTTCGTAGAAAATTCATCTAGACGCTAGATTTAGTATATTTACATTTGCTTTGTATATAGAATTTGACGAGTTCCTTTTTTTTTTTTTTCAAAAGAAAGAAAAAATTATATAAAGGAAGAAAGTTTTAAGACAAAAAATATACTATGGCCCAATTTCATTGGTCCGCTAAGACGATGGAACAAAAGGTACAGACAGCGGATGATTTTTCTGATTTAAAAGAAAGACCGGTTTTTCGCTTTTCTTAAGTAAGTTCGATGTAATGACGAGTGGTAAATGACCTTTCCATTCGCATTGATGATATTTCTTTGCACAGTTCAGAAAAGTGTCTCAAGTTCCTCAAAATGAAAATTAAATGGGACAAGGTATTTTTTTTAACAAATAATTTTGAATGAAAAGGTCTGGGTATGTTCGGTATTCATCTTAAGTTTTTTCAGAGAGAAGAATGTTTCTTATCACAGTCAGCGGCGGGCCGCACACCACGTTCCGGGCGGTGGCGTAAAAAATTCCTTGAAGAAAAGAAAATAGTTGGAAGGAAAAAAATGCATTTTCGAAATTCGTACGCCGCCCGCGCGGAACCTTCTATACTTCGTTATTCGCGCGATCGCTTAATAAAAAAAAAAATCCTACACGCGATCTCACGTGGGAGTCGTGAGGCTTACGCAAGCTAATTAAATCAAAAAATTTTGTGTCGTATATAAAAATTGTAAATAATAGATATTCGATTGACACATACTCCATTGTTCTAACGTTTATACGCTTTGTCTCTCTTCCATTCTCTCAATCTCGCTATTCCTTTCTTTCTCTCTCTTTCTCTCTCTCTCTCTCTAGTAACATGAATATAAAATAATTACGAAACTACGTACTAGCAATAAAAACTTACTTCAGTACCCATAGTAATTAGTTATTTACAAGCCACGGATAATGGCACGTTAAGAATATGTTTGCACTACAGTTCATTGTATGTTTTAACGTAACTCCCAACAGATGGCGTAACAGGTCACTTCCGGTAATAGCCATCCGCAAGTATTTTTTTTCTCTGCAACGGCAGTACTTCAGGCACTTCATTCTCTAAAGTTCTCTAAGTACTGTACTGAAAACAGTCCCGGTAGTCCCTTCTCCACCTCGAGATACCAGAGGCCCCTGGGTAATATCGAGGAGGAAGCGTATCTCCCAATACGCGGCAACCGGAAGCTGTGACATTCTTTCGTCAAATTTTCACTTCCTTCGACGAATCTCTTCGGTCTTCGCATCCGGTTCCTGGTTCCGTGATGCGGTGACCGAGTATCTCATCACTGTCGACATCCACCGCCGTTCATCAGATTCAGACCGTCGTCTCGTTTTTCCTGAATGGTTTCAGGGGTTGAAGTTCACGTTCTAATCTGTCGAAGTCGTTGTAGTACTCGTGATCGGATTCCTCTTCTGAACTTCTCTGTCTCACTTGTGAACCGAAGGTTCCCTTGGTCAACACCTTCTTTAGGTCTGGTGTTGGGATACCCAGGGGTTGTGGTGTAAGGGGCCCTTCGTCCTGGGACATTATGTATTCTGGATTGTCCAGAGAGGTTTTCCCTGGAATTGTCAGGAATTCGGGATACTTTCTGTATCCGTTATTCACCCGTTTTGGTTCTGCTTCTGAAAAAGCCAAGATGAACGTAAGTTTTTGATTTTCTTAAATAAATATATCTTTTTTAATTAGTAAGAAATTTACCTGAGGGTTTCGAGTCACCGATGAGATCCATATATTGAGTAGTATTTGCTGGTAATTGAGGAGACGGCATTAGGTAGTCATCCTCGTCGACGGGAAGATCCAATTTTAGATTCCCTACTTGAGCCTGTTGATGTACAGATCCAACTTCTGAATCGAAGCAATCATCTGTTACGTCGCAGTCTACAAATAAAGAAAAAGGAATACATAAATGTGAAGAACCGATAATTTCTCAATGGGAAATTTGGAAAATGGATTTAGGACCCACCTCTTACGCCTACAGTCTTCAAAGGATCCGAACAGTATCTGGAGCTAGAACTATCAGATCCCATAACATGTCCGCAGTGTCCGTTAGGATGAGCATAATGCGTGTGCTGTCCGGAATTTCCGGGCTCATGGGACGTACTTCCATTTCCGTGAGATGCTCCATACCTAAGATATTCCCTATCCCAATTCTGCTGGTTCTGAGGAGTCGGTGAATCCGCTGCTAGAGGCATTCCGTTCGGCCAACATGTTTTCAAGGGTGTGTTAGGCGGAGAGCCGGTAGTACTTGAAGCAGAAATACCAGGTGGAATAGGCGCCCTGGATTTAGGTTGCAGATACTCATCAGCATCTACTAAAGCTTCTGGTCCGTCCATCGCCGAGGCTAGGTTACGAATCATTTCCTTCTCATCCTGGATAAGAAAAAGGATCGATAAGTAAGAATAATTTATTTGAAATACGGTTGTAAAAATAACTTATTCCAATTATACCTGTAGAGTATAGGAAGGCAGTCTCATATATTTGTCTCCTTTGATGGCCAAGTATCTTCCAGGGTCGCGCGACATCTTGGCAAAGTCTTCGGCAAGTTCCTTAAAGCTGGGTCTAGCCTCAGCGTCCAGCATCCAGCATTTAATCATGATCATGTAAACGTCTATTGTACAGATTCCTGGCTGCGGCAACCTCTCTCCCTTTTCCAATAATTCTGGTACGTTTCTAGCTGGCACATTCTCATACGGTCTTCCACCATAGGTTAGCACTTCCCATATGGTAACACCGAAAGCCCACACGTCAGATTTATGTGTGAAGACACGATGCTGTATACATTCCAGTGCCAGCCATTTAATAGGCATCTTTCCGCCGGCAGCTTTGTACTGTTCTTCGTTAATATCCAGTAACTTAGCCAAACCGAAGTCCGTGATTTTAACACAATTAGGAGTCTGGACCAGGACATTTCTCGCAGCAAGATCCCTGTGGACTAGCCTTCTGTCCTCCAGATAAGCCATACCCCGTGCTATTTGCGTGCACCAATTTAGTAGCGGCTTGGAACCAATTTTATCTTTGTAGGTTCGTACAAAGTCTAGGAGACAACCCAGAGGCATCAGCTGGGTAACCAGCATCATCTGTGAGGTCATGCAGACTGCTAGCAGCTGAAGTAGATTAGGATGTTCTACGCTAGCCATTATGTAAGCTTCGTCCAAGAACTCCTTAGAGGTATTCGCACCGGTGCCATCATGGAGGACTTTAATGGCTACTGGAATTTTCACATTCTCACCCTGTGGTACCCAGACACCCTTGTATACATTGCCAAAGGCACCGTAACCTAGGATTCCACCCTTTCTCATCTCTTCCTCCTTGATGATCCGTAGTTTGGCCAGGTTGGGTTTCACTCCTGTAGGTCTCAGAGGCTCGTTGTCATCCAGACCAGTCAGTGCCATTGTCATTTTGACAGTATTCTCTTTGGCCTTTGTACGCAATCTCCATTGGCACATTATAACTGCCGCCACTACCATGAAGATCGCTGTGAAAATACCAACCCCAACCAAAATTGCTGGTTGCAATTCATTGTCCGACGTATACCCAAGACCGATTGCCTCCGATGAACAGTACGGTTCACCATCCGGTGGGAAAATCTTGTGAGGGTATTCGGGAGGACACGTTTCGGTGCAGTTGAACGAAGTGGAATTGTCAGCAATGTCCTCATCCTAAATGTAACCAAAAGATTTTTTATACCACGATATAGATGTTATAGACTGTTAACCGCGTAAGCGCATTATCATACTTACAATATTAATTTTATAGTTCCGACATTTGTAACACTTATTCGGTCCTGGACCGAAGCATCCTCGACATTCACCAAAGCAAGGAAGACAGAGTTGCGTATCGGCATCGGCAAAGTAATCAGCAGGACATTCGTCCTCACACTGTTCGCCTCTCTTGTACCTGGTGCACTTTTGACAGACCTGCTCATGGAATCCATATCCTGTACACTTTTTACATCTCGCATGACACTTTCGGCAAACAGCTTTTCCAGCTAATGGCTTTAATGTTCCTTGCTCCTGGGGACTGACCCATTCGTAGTAATGTCCTAGGATCAAAATGTTTTATTATTTAATCATGTTTAAATTTAATTATCAATTTGATCTTCTGTACAAAGTGATCTGTGGACCTTACCTTCTGGACACGATTCACGCTTTTGCAAACATCCCTCGGGAAGGTGGTCGTCGTTCATTATTGCTTTTTCACAACTATGACAGCCATTGGCTCCTATATTATTCTCAGGACCCTCACAGCCACCGACGCAATTCTCGTGACAGTGCTTGCACTGTCCGTTGTCGTTGTACTTTGAAGATGGACACTTAGGAACGCAGAAAGGACCATCTCGAACGTTTTTACACTTGTTACAGTGCTCTGCGTTAGGTCCTGTACACGTGCCATCGCATTCCTCGTGGCAAGGTTTACAAATTCGAGAGTCCGCTTGATATATGCTGAAAAGTCCATAATAATTATAGAAACAAATTATTTTATGAGTTATGTTTGCAACAAAAAAACTTTTATGGTACTGTTGTATAATATTATTCAGAAAGATTGAAAAGGAATTATTAGTATCCTGCTGGTATTGATAGAATTTACCTGTTATCCTTGCTCTACGTGCACGTTTGCAATGACAAGGATTATTATTTAAGAATATCTGTTTTTGTTTATCGTGTTTGATTTTGGAATTTTGTCAACTTACCCAGGGAGTATAGTGCAATTTTGTAGGCAAACGTTGCCAAGGATGAAGTTCTTGCATGACAGACACTGAGCAGGTCCTGGACCCCAGCAGCCCTCTTCAGAGCATTGTTCATCGCATACTAATCCTTCTGCAACTGTAATAAATAAGAATTGGATTAATAAGTTATATTTAAGTGACAGATAAAGTGATAATAGAGAATATACTTACTGCATTCTGATTCGTTTTTATTATTCGATAATAAGGTGTCATGTTCGGATGACTTCTTGATCCTGGTCCAGTTAATACTTTGTGCATAACACAGATCAGTATTCTCCAAAATGGCAATTGACCCAGAATATATCTTCTTCAAGGAGCTAAGTCCAAGAGATACCAGAGCAGTCTTGACAATGTACAACGATGCAAAGTATTCGGTAAGAGTTCTTCCACCAATGACTTCCAAGTTACGAAAATAGGATAAATTAGTAAAGTCCTTATGATCTCCTTGAATATTCAAGTATCCAGTGATCTCTTTCAGGGTGCTGAACACTTCTAGTCTATCCGGATGCATAGCCTCGTAACGAGAACCAAAGGTAAAGTTACTGTAGATATGCTGGAATCCTTCGAAGCTCTGATCCAGGATAGTAATAGATCCTTCAATAATGGTGCAATCCTTGAAACTGTCTATATTCCCAGAATGAACTTTGTCAACTCCTGTGCACGTTTTTGGACAAGGTCCATCGCAAGGTACGCATTCGCCATTAAGAGCCTTCTTCTTAGGTGGACAGGATCTTACGCAGGCTCCATTATCCTTCAGGAGATGTTCAGGGCACTTTCTAACACACGTTGCACCATAGGCATACTTCCCATCGGGATTAGCTTCCCAGGAGTAAGTAGTTGGGTTGTACCTAGTGATTAAAACATTATTTTGAGTAACTCTACTTATTCCAACGAATTTCAAAATCTGAGCCTAGATACTAACTTTTGCATCGGTGGACACTCCTGGGTGCAGACACCATCGTCAAAGAAGTTCTTGCAGGCTAGACAGTCACTCTGTTTGGGTCCAGTGCAACCACCAGCACAGAAAAGATGGCAGCACTCGCGTGGGTTGGACCCAAAACACCTGCCCTGCCAACACTGTGGCGAACAGTTCATCTTGGAGAACCTTTGACAATTCTTTGGACCTTCTCCCCAGCATCCTTGCTCACAGCTCTTGTCACAGTCCGGACAAGTTCGTTCTGGCGAGGTAAAGTTGTAGACATAAGAATACTTTCCACCGGGTCCTGTTATTATTTCATCCCAATTGATCGTCTTGGTATGACAAAGGTTGTAGTTGTTGTATATCCCGACGCTGCCATTAAGGATATCTAGGGAAATAAATTTATTTAGAGACAATTCAGGATTTATTAAAACATCCTCATGAACCATATCTCCATTTAATTTTCTTTAACACTGACCTCTGAGCGCCGGCATCTCCAGGTTATGTAGTTGACACATGGTAACGAAGAGGGCAAACTCCACGTCGTGTATGTTGAGCTTGAAGAGGGTCCTACCACGTATGATCTGGAGTCTAGGTAGGACGATCCTCCTGACGTCGACGTGGCTGATGAGTACATAGCCAGTAACTTCTCGTATGTACTGGAGGAAGCTGAGATCGAGGGAGTCATTTTGGAGCCACGTAATCTCCAGATTCCCATCGACGTAAGTACAGTTGGTGTACCGGTCTCGAAGGTTCCGGTAGTGGTGCTGCTTGTTGGATGGCACCGAGAGTCGGCCATTGGTCCCAATGCAAACTGGAACAAGGAAAATAAAATTAAATTTAGAAATACAACCAACATGAACCACACTGAGATAATCATCTGATTTCTAAATTTCATTTGGGTAACTTGATACGTTATCCTAGATTGATCTAGACTTCGGAAAGTGTTTTTCAAAAAAAGAGACTGGTATTCGGTTACACGAGGCCCTTCGAACTTTGTTCATTATCCAAGGATGTATGCAAGGACCAGTGATTTTTCGCAGTATCGTAATTGGTGAGAACCATAACAAGCGTCTCTCTTTACATACAATTTTTAATGTTCTCAATAGACCATAATCTTGGATCAGAGCGTCGTTCTTTGTCTGAAGAAGTAGGATGTTCACAACTTAGTCGGACTAAACGTGCACGTCCTGAGATTGTAGAATCTAATGACAAAGTCTAACCTCTCTAAGGTTTTCAACACCTACTGATTCGACCAAGCTACGAGACGCCGATTGACGAAATATATCAATAAGACAAGACTCAAGGAACCATCCGAATTAAGAAAGTTTGATCTTTTTTAATAGATTAACCAATATAGCGCTCTCGAAGGAAAATCAAAGTGCGGTGAAATCTACCACCCACATTAACGTCTAATACCCCTTCATTCTATAGATAGCTTTCTAGGCCTCAAAACAGTTGGAGTGGAAGACAAGTGGGCGAACCACTTCCTATCAACGTGGTAGTAACGCAGCACAAAGATTGTGCAACTGGCAACTCCCGTTGAATAGTCAGTATGAGTACCGTGAAAAATGACAGTCTCAGGCGCTGTTGACCCTAGTACAGGACTGACGTATGCAAAAGCGGACGCGGTAGGTCGGAATGATTTCCTAGAACTTCCCATAAAGTGAAGTTACCTCAATGAGAAAAGAACTGACAATGAAAATAACATGGGAAGGAATCGTGTGAACAGAAGCCGCGGTGGTTCCCGTGTCTCCTCCTACAGGAGTAACAGCCAAGGATCTTTGCGACTTTCTTGTTCGCGTGGGGGAGCATAAGATAGCCGCTGGCATCATTGACGAGCCTGATGGTTCCCCATCTGAAAGAAATGCCGGAACGAAGAAACCGGGTCCTCAGGTATTTGCACTGGCCAGATGCTTGCACTGCACCGATCTCAAATAATGCGAATAAGAATACAAGGCCTCGCTTCGGTTGCAAGGAACGGCCGCCCTTGGCGCCACTGTCGGAAATACCATGGGACCAGTTCTTCGGATTTATATCAGGGACCCAATCATTTTCCCAGTACCCGACGCCTGGTACCACAACAGGTATTGCATTTTAGATTCCTAATGTACTACAAATTATTTTTATCTTTTGCTAAAGCTATAAATATTTTTTAACTCTCACTGCCACGCGACTCTTCTCCGCGCCTATGGACATTTGTACACTCTACGTGCTGACATCGAAGAACCATCAAGGAGCTAGGAATTGCCGATGAACTCCCGTTAACTGGAGGCGCCGTCGGTTTCCTTTTCAGGATGGCGTATACCTCCTTTTGCCATAGTTTCAACCCGGCTACATCCGTCTGTCCTGTCCGTCCATCCGTATGTATCTACGTCTCGTCCATTGGCCATTTTACAGGAACCTCTCCCCTTTCATACTGGGTTCTACTTTGCTCGGTGCCGAAGAAGATATTTCCTTGGAACGATATATCGAAGGTGGGGTAAGGGTGCGTTTCTGCACAAGACACAGAAACTGGATCAGCATCGATCTAACTCGTTTTCTTTCTTCTGTTTTTTATTTTCTCTCGTCTTCATTCTCCTTATTCTCTTTTCAGCTTCACTTCAGCTACGTCCTCCGAACTTGTTTCCTTATTTTACTCTGCCGCGATTCTGCGATCTCGTTCGCAATTCATTGGACGTTATCCAGCAGCATCTCTTGGTCCATTGGAATAATCGGAAGGCTGGGTTTAAGGTGTACGATAATTTCGGTATATTACAGAGCTAAGGTGCGCTAAAGTGAATGATAGGGAAAAAAGAAGTAGGGAAATATAAATGGCGACTTCGGCAAAAGTATATACTGTCTTGGCTGAGCTTCGGTGCCAGCAAGTCGCACGCAACATTTTCAGGGCGACTGGCTGATATACCTGAGCGTGCGTATGCTCATGGTAAACGTATGATTATCCTGACAGGCACGGTCGAGGGTTCCTGAAAATTACTTGGTGATTCCAACCTCGAGGAATTAACATTTTGCCAAATTTACGAGATACGAGGGTGCGAAGACAATGGAGGTCTAACGTGCTAATATCGATTACCGACTGGGCGTGAACAGCTGTCACGTAATTACCGACGGAGCTCCTAAGAAATGTTCAAGGTCAAGACGTCCCGGGTTCTTACCCCAAAAACTAGAATTCTCGCTCTGCTACTTATAAGCACCCAGTACTCATTTTATTATGGATTTGATGAAAGCATAACCAGGATTAAGGACACTGCCCAAAGACAGGATACCCTTTATGGCGCATGGACCATGCAACGACGTAGAAATCTCAAATCCTGATTACTACCGTTAGGCTAGGTTCAGCTATAGACGTACCTTTGTGGCACGTTCCCGGTAACCTGGAGGAACCCATGGACTTTTATGCGGCACTTTAAGGCGCCATTAAAAGAGCCCAAAGTAATATGAAATAACCGCATGCCGATGGACGCGGCGCCATTTATTTTAGCTCGTAAACATCGATACCCTCTTCGTCTTCGTCTGGCCTGTGGCTAAATAAGTATCCGGACGAAATAAAAGGCGGTATCATAAACGTGCGAAATAACCGTCAGACTGATGGAATAGTAATAGGACTGAAGTTGAGGTTAATAATGGCGGCGGTGGCGTCGGATAATTCTTACGGGACAAACGAGTCTTCTTGAAGGCTCCCGAAACAATAGCCAGAAAATCACGTTCGTCTTTACGACGAGTCTCAGTGACATTGAATTGCCCATAAAAGCCATACAGGACTGACACATTTTATACCAACGATAGAAGGACCTAAGCCGGCACTAAAAAAAATACAGTTCATCCATACATCACCGAGTTAACACAGTTCATACAATTTTTTTGGAAATTCACATCTGATCTGTCAAGGATTGCATTGTTTGCAAACTGCCCAAAAACCAGACCTAACTTAGGCACTACCAGAGTCAAGTCGAAAAGTCATCGAAAAAAAAAGTCTCGAGCAGTTGGAAGTAATATACATATATACAGTTAAACATAACTATCGTAAAATTACAAGAATGTATGAACGTCTCAGGGTGTAACGTTAATAACTCTACGGTTTATTGCATCGGAGTCTGCGGTGAAGTCTGGATGATGATCTGTTGGATGCAAAGTCGTAATGGCTGTCGGACCAAAGTCTGTCTGTTGTATCTTTTTTTTTATTTTATTTTATTTCACCTAGTCAAAAAAATACGTGGTCCACGTGACTCGCAAGTACGTTTAAAGGAGTTTCGACGAAGAGGATGTACCGCATGTTTTATGTATCAACGAATAACAGGAGCGTTTAACCTAAGACGACATAACCTATAAGTAGCGAGGCGTGAAGTTAGTAATGAAGAATTGAAAATGAAGTACGAAGAGTACCACAAGACATGGAACAAATGAAGGCACGTGGAATGCTCTTTGTTCTCTTGCGCCGTTCTCTTGCCGCGATTCTTCAGGCATTTTTCTTTATACCTGTTATTCACTCCGCCATCATTGTACTTTATGTGTACCCGGGTTATACTGTACTGTAGTGTATTCTATAGTGTGTTCACAGTCTGCTTGTACCAGTCTACCACCGCAGGATTTGATCTTGGAAAGCATTAAGATGGGACTGGACCATGTGACTTTGAAATTTATGAATTGAGAATTTTTTTTTGTATTAACTCTAATTTCCTAATATTGAATTATTTAAATTTCTTTGTATATGGCGCTTAAGGGTACGAGAGGATTGTGTCGCTCTTTGCTATAGTCTTGTTTTACTTCGTACGTATTATACTGGTTTAGTTAGGTTAGGTTACACTCGGGTAACAAGTGAGGATCTATGGCACCGATGCTGTTACGATCTGGAAGGAGATCCATCGATCTCTTGTAAATCTATCGATCGACCACCGTGTGAGATACGTATGTCTTCTTTTGGCAAGAAGAAACTCTACCTCTCGACGGCGTCTCTTAATCGGGCTTGATATCCTTATATACCAATATATATATATATATATATTTGTATATAGATATTTAATACAGTGCTCAGCATACACAATTGTATGAATAATATATATACATTTTTTTAATTTACCACTCATTTGAATGATAAGAATTGATACTTGAAAATTTAATACTATCAGGTTTGATTAATGTTTTTGTAAAATATATAGATATAGTACATAGAGATCCATGGCTTTTATGTATAAATTGAATGGGAGTATCTTTTTCTTTTCTAAAGGCACATTTCCAAGAACGCGAATGTCAGTCAAATATCAAATTCAAAAGAGGTCATGTACGTTATTCGTTAAGGCGTCCTGTAAATGCTCGACAGATTTAATCAGCCGGTGCATAGTCATACAAATGAGACAAGAATGACTATGCATCTCGTGATCCATGGGATCTCGGATTCTAATCTAAGATAACCCATGGATCGATTCACAAGTAGTATGTACCGATTATATCGAAGGTAACGATTTTAATTGGTAGCATACCGCCGTGCGTCCTTGACAATTCTACAGTTATCAACAACAGACTATACCAGCTCGACATCGTATCGAGGCTTCATAACCTCAAAATAAAATTCTTTCATACTGGATCCAGAGTCGGTCCAGTCGGTGCATCCAGCTGCATTAGAAACTAGAATTGTTCCTGATTCCTAATCCACCATCCCTCTATCTCGTACAAAAATCTTTTTTTAATTTAAAAGGACGAATACAGGGGTGCATCAAGATGGCGGCGATAATTCAAATAGGTTAAGAGTCACGATAGCTTTTAGGTATTGTGAATGAGTATCTGCCCTTTGAATTTCTCTTGGAGTATATTCTGGGC